ATGAATATCTCGGCTTCTAGAAAAAGCCGTCTATCGCAACTGGTAGAATCAGAACCGCCTCTATAAAAAACCTATACAAACAAGTAGCCAGATCATCCGAATAGTTTTCCGTATTTTTAGACAATTTTTTTAGTTTTGTAGTCGTTGCAAAATCATAGGACACCCCTCGGAAGTCTCCTTACAGTTGAATTTTTTATCCATCCAGCAACGATGGTAGCACTTGTCCGGTGTATGGTAACTCTATTAGAGTTACGGTTTGAGTTGCTCCCTTTCCCTCCGCGAGTGAAAGCCAGACTTTCTTTTTATACGCGCCTGATGGCTCTACCATGAGCATCGAAGCCATTTTTAGGAGCTCAAAGAAAACCATAGCTTGGTGCTCCAAATTCTCACTACGAATAGAAATAAGAGTGCACCAGGATAAATAGCAGAAGTTCTCTGAAAGGATTAGCTATAACCTCGAAGATTACATCAAACAAAATCACCATGTACTACATGCCCAAAAAAATTCAAGCAAAAGCAGCGAAGTAGCGGCTTATTGTGTTTGTTATAAGTAGGTTTGGGGAAGAGAACCATAGAAGCTTAAACACCTAGCTTATTTAGCTTATCAAGCTGTACATAAGGACTTCAGAGTTCTGAAAAAACTTCATCTCAGAATGCGCCATGCACCCGAGTTCAATATGAAGAGAGAGTGATGTATGCGCCGCGCATAAATACCAGTTATGCAAGCTAACCTGTCATCGCCTGCGCATCGCTGGCGATGACTCCCTCACGACCTCACGTCTGGCGGGGGCGTGCCCATACTGTATAAGCCTTGAACAGATACTACAACCATATACCTTCTCTTGCAGCCATACAATAAAGGCGTTCAACTCTTCTCTCTGTACATAGTTTTCCTCCTCATATAAATCCACTGAACCACCGCGAGGTGATTAAAAGGGTCCACCATAACCCTAAGTCTCTAGTCACCCGCAACATAACCAGCCACCAAGGAGAAGATAACCAACACAGAATGCGCCCCCTGCCTAACTTCGTCCAGTACATTGTGTAAATAGGGTATATTTTATCAATAATATTTCTAATAGATTCCATGATTTATGAGACAATTTGAAGCGCTGATGGGAACGGCAACGGACATGGCACGGCTATGGCGCCTTTGCCCACAATTTTGAGTCTAGGTAGTATCGCGACTCCTGTGGTTGGGAGCCCTATTTCTTAGTTACGGAAGGCCGGCTCTTGATACCTAATCGAGACACGTGGCATGAGTTGTTTTCCATCCGTGAGGCGATTAAACTGACTAACAAACATCGCATCTCCTGTCTGTTTTTTTTGAATGAAGCGGATACGAAGCCCGATCCGAAAAGAAAAGTGACTCAAAGTGCCCTGACCAATAGGCGATTGGCAATCTCTTCCATACCCAGCGTACGCACACGTTCTGATGCCAACGAGAGCACATCAGTGATCACCATTAGCGTTTCAGTCTCCAGTAAGAAAGAACCAATTCTTGGGGGGCTGGGTATTAAAGTAGACGAAAAGGTACCAGCAACGCTCACAAGTTCCTTACAAAGTTCCTTTTTCTATAAACGCACATGGTTTCAAAACCAATCGCAAGCACAGCATTCTGAGTAAATTGCGTAGAGCACTGAGCCGATCGTCATCAAATTGTAGGACTGGTATGAGACAGTAGTTCTGGCAAATCAAAACAACAACTCATGTGCAGCAGACAGACCAAAAAGTTGTACACGACTGATTTTGGTGGAAGCTCATATTGAGAACGTAAAGATCAACGTGCGTTCTTCTCCAAAGAATTTCATCTAAAAGTATCATGCAATGACACATGGTTTGCAGTTCGTGTGTTTGTGTCTTCGCCGTTTGGCACGGATCTCCTTCTCGCCAGTTTGCTTCTCGATGAAATTCCCATTGTAATTTTATGATAGGCGGCTCATTAACTTTTGGGCGAGGTTTATTAAGGAATGATGTTGCTAGTTTCGTGAGCCCCTACAATAGCGCGGTTTGCTCGTATGTTTGTGAAGTTATCTACAATTCTCGGTTGACTTGTTAAACTGTTAAACTCGCTTGTTAAACGGCCCAGTGTAAGATTTGTGAGGGTGAATTTCGGAAGCAATCTCAGTAGACTCAGTCTGTTATCGATAGGCAAAGAATGCTGTACAAAAGTAAGTTTTGTGGGTTTTGATATAGTGAAAGGGTTCAATATGATCATTTGTCGTACGAAATGTAATGACTATTCTTTATGATTGTAACTTGCAAGCTATGGAATATTCTGCAAATATCAACCAATTTTACCATTTTGAAGCATTTAGTGAAATGCATCATGGCATTATGCATAGCGCCTCATCCCTACTGCATTTGCAGTTGGTGCACTTGCAGTCGTCATCGGTTTGGCACGGTTCTCCTTTCTCGTAAATCAACTGGTCGATGAAGTTTCCTCTGCAAGTTAATCATAATAGGAGCTTCGCGTTGGGACGTGGTATCACTGCTCGCCATGGAAAGGTACTTACCCAGGGCGGTACTGACAAACCACAAATGTCATTGGCACTGGGGGGTCATTGCAGTATTCTATCACACATCCGAGCTTGTAACTACTCTGCCAAACCATCTGAAAATTCGCAAATATTGAGAACGAGTGATTCGACTACTTATTCTCGCCTCACCTGAGTGTAGTGACCAATCTGCTCTTTCTGTCGATAAAACAGTTCGTTAGTGAGTATGTTGTCTTGTCCAACACCATGGTCTTTTAATTCAGCGAAGAACTTATCGCAGGCCTAGAGCACGGTTGTTTTTTGCACTGAAAAATTGCTAACGTTGACAATTGCTCTTACCATTTCCGCTGCAAGTGACCTATTCATTTCCGGTTGAAGGCTCGCCCATACATTCTCACCAAGACCGAATCTGTCGGCTTTGATGGAATGTCCCCATCTGCATTTCTCGGCATGCCTCAGTGCGTTTGCTTCGATTTCGCAATCATACACCTGAATGACCCATCGTCACATGACTTACGTTGCGCAAGAAGCATTGTCGCCTATGCGTATGTGACCGCACCATCTTAAGCATTCTTGCTGCTTTGGGAGCGTATCCACCGAACTTGTCCTTCGCCAATCCTTTTGCAACGAATGATCTGGAAGAATATACTCAAAATCATGGTTGACATCCGTCACGACCACAGCTAACCTGTAGTAGTTATGTTTTTTGAGGAAAATCTCTCTGAGGTCATCTGTCATTCCGGTATTGGCTTTGCATGAATCTGGAATCAGCATCATTAATTTCCTAGAACAGAAGTAACTTGAAAATCCCTCAAACCTGGTCCCTCCACTGGTGGCCTGGGCTTCTTAGTAGATGTTTTGGTTTCAGGTTTCATCACCATGTTAGTTTCGCAAATACCGTTCGAGCAAAATGAGTCGGGATGAGCGTCGCACTCACAGGTTCTTCCATTTTCCCACAACTCTTGCATCGGTGGTATTCTTCTGAAATTGAAAACACTATTTTGCATTATTTTTCTTCACTCCTGCCATCACGGTTTCAGCCGACCAACTGGGCATCTACAAAATAGGGGGTGTGTTTTAGCACAACTAGTTCTGATCTAGTGTGTTTTTAAAGATACACGTTCAAATTAAGAAGGCGATGTTATAGGAGAGGAAACGGACTGTTTCGCGCGTCTAGTCTTATACTTTGCGTGATTATTGTACCCGCACGCTCATTACGTCATCTGCCTCACCGCCAAATGTGAATTGGTCGCTTGGTTTAGTGAAATTGTTCCATTCGAGAGAAAAATGTTATCGCTTGAGACAATTGGGAATTCTATACTGTACAATGAGAAGAAAACTTGAGAAAGCGGAACTATGTTCAGGCAAATGTACGGCCCAAATCTGTGTGAAAGCTGCAGTCCATATGGTCACTGCAGAGCAGCGAAATGAGGAATACTATATTCAGTTCTCATGAGCCTGCCTTCATTTGTGCAATCTTCAGAAATTCTTACTTAGTGCCATAAATGCAGGATACCAGCATCTCGGAGCCGCAGACCTTATATGCACATCCAAGCTTCATATTTTTGTGATTCGCTATCTAAAAACAGAAGTTGTTATTTAGTTTTATTTTATGCATGCATGAAATTCCTACGTTGGCAAAAGTTTCGAGTCTGTAGAAGAACTTGCGATTGGGTGGTACTCCATACGTCATCACGGGGTTCATCCAATTTTTCTGAGCGAATTCTAAGGCCTCCTCTTCCTTACCGTTTACGTAATTCAACGCTAAACATATAACTCATTACTAAATTTGAAACAGAACATAACCGAATCTTCCATGATCACCTTATACTGTTTTGAGACATTGACAAACGGCACGACCCGGGTGCAACTTTGAAAATGCATGAGGAGACCTGGTACTGTGCTTTTTTCTCCAGGTCACAGTCCCATTTCTAAAATTTAGTTGCACTAGTTTCTGTCATCCCTCTCCACTTTCATAAGCAGGTCGCTGCTTTCCTTGAAGAAACTGAACGAAGTTACTGGCTTTGGTAACACCAGGATTACAAAGACTTGCCTTAAAAGAAGTGAAGCGCTATAAAGTTGAAATTTCCAAATCTTCATGCTAAGGCTGCCTTCGTTAACACGACAAGTGAGTTTTCCCTGAAGGCAATGACCTACCAGTTTGTACATGTTCTTAGCTGGTCCGAGGAACCGGCTATAAACCGGTCTATTCGGCTGAATTCCGGTAGATATGTTGCGACGAACATCGTTATGGAAATCGAGGAATATCTTCCTTGTTTTGTCAGTCTGGCTCAGGTCTTTTGAGCAGCCATAATCTGAAGGGTATCATGTGAAGCAATGGATTTATGTTATGCAGAATTTTTTCGAAAGGCAACGCCTCGTGCTGTGGAAGAGGACATGAACTTCCGACCCTCGTAAGCAAGTCTTCTCTGATGTGTATGCTACGTACCTGCTTTTACATACGAACTCACGAGCACCTTAAAATACAGCATTTGGCAAACAAGTTGGCCAACAATAGCATTTATTCAATAATTTTATGAGCTTTGTTCGATGACAATTCACAAGTAATCAAATTTCAACGTACCAGGCAAACGAGCGTGGTAGCCCACAACATGTCGGAATGTGGCTTTCGATGTTCATTTGAATATGTGCTAATATTTATATGGTTGTGCGACATGAAAATTGCCCAGTTGCCGCCCACATTGATTACACAAATGCTGCACAAGTATACTATGTGCTCCGCAATGACGATACATTCGTTGAAATAATGAATACCGTGGAACCTATCCTGTTAACAAGATATCCAGACAACTTTCCATGAAGCTACACAAATGTTAGTTCTGAGAGCATGTGAAGAATATAGAACCTTCTCTTCTCGAATGTTGAAAAACACAGGAACTGACTAAAAAATTTTGAAGAACTTTCTTTTTATAGGCAAAGCTACGTCCTTCTGAACAGACCTAATACAAGCACATAGAAATGTTACCGTAGCTTAAACACACTTGTGAGTACAATAGCTAGGATATTTTTCTCTGTTCCTGGCTCTATTTCGATGGCTCCTCTAAAGAGGTGGCGCGATCAGCGAATAAAGCTCCAGCGACTGCCTCATTCCAATCTTTGTCCAGCCTCCCTTGCGATTTTCCTTGGTCCTTAATTCTCAACTAGACAATTAAGAAAGAACAGCATCTCGTCAGACTAATCCCTGTTATAACTTTCTAAGCACGACCAGGTCCAGTGGAAGTGCCCACAAACGCAGAGTCTTGACAAAGTGGATAGCACAGAATAGTTCTAAGCTCATGACAGTGATCACCAATTATTGTGTGTTGGAAAGCTACGGTAGGCTGCCACAGGGTCCAAAGCTATAATGGAGACGCTTTGAGATCACGGTATAGGTCATATTATTATATTGGCGCAGCCATATCAGGAATCCAAAAATGAACCGTAGTTAAGAGTGCCTGTCAATTACGCTGGAACTGGCTCTCTATATAAGATCAGCTTTCCAAACGGAGCTCTGAATACGACCCATTCAAAAACCCACTACACTGTGCGTGTCGTTAGCTGAACCGGTGGATCTGATAAAGGTACAGCGTTTCATCTTTCTAGCGCTTACGTGATGAGTCAGGTGGTGTCGAAGATCTAGTAGGTGTGTGTAGAAATTTGGTCGCATACTTACAATCCGAATCCCATCCTTTTCGGCTCCGACGAAGGCGAACTTGCTGAAACGTTAGCCAACAAAGTAATGTTAAGAACCTCTTCTGCAGTTCTACAAGGCAGTAAGTACCCATTACCGAGATTCCGAGGTTTATCGAGAGTCGAACATGGCAGGCTACGGTAGCTTTTCTAGGCGGTTGTATTGGTGCTGTTCAGAAGGACGGTAGCTTTGCTCGAATAACAAGTTCTCCAAAATTTTTTAGTCAGTTCATGTGTTTTTCAGCATTTCGAGAAGTGAGGGTTCTATATTCTTCACATGCTCTCAGAACTAACATTTGTGTAGCTTCATAGAAAGTTGTCTGGATATCTTGTTAACAGGATAGGTTCCACGGTATTCATTATTTCAACGAATGTATCGTCATTGCGGAAGCACATCAGTATACTTGTGCAGCATTTGTGTAATCAGTGTGGGCGGCAACTGGGCAATTTTCATGTCGCACAACCATATAAATATTAGCACATATTCCA